TAAACTAATAGCTCTCTCTTAAATTTACTATTTAAAACACTTGATATCTATTAATCAATATTTAAATATAATTAAAACTTTTGTACATCACTTTCAGCTTCATGTGAAGAAAAATAGTAAGTTATTGAAAGCTTATAAATAATATTTAATTAAGTTTAATTCTTATCCATCAATTTTTTTTATATATCTTTCATTCCTTAAAATCATAACTTTAGAAATTATTTAAAATCCAATAATATGGATCATGTATAATAAATAATTGAAATTAAGGAATTAATCAAATGAATAATAAGACAGCTAATTTTTCCCTATGATTGGGCTTTTAATTAGAACCAATAATTATTCCTGTTCAATTTATAATTGAGAGTATTTTATATTGACAAAATTCAAAACAGACAATATAACTGTAAAACTCAGCAATGTGGTATAGAAATTAAAAATGATGGATCAATTATTTTTATCATATTTAATGAAACATTAAGTCTTATATTTTTCTATATCGTTTAAATACTTGAGTTGATATCATCAAATTATACCTCATATATATCATTGCTTTGAATCAATATTAATATAAATAGCAAAAAAAGGAAACCATCTTTGTATAGATTTCTTTCCAATATGTAATACACATTCTTTAAAACAATAAATTATTTAGAATATAAAATATTATATTTGTTAGTTTTTAAATGTTTTAGCAGAACTTCGATAAAGAAATTTTTTATTCAAGATAAGTAGCAGCTTTGGGTTTGGAAACTTAATTAAAGTTAGAATAATTGGAATGCTTTATTTATGGATTAAAAGGAGTATACATTATTTAATAGTTAGCTTGGACTTGAGATTGCAAAAAACTTAATTTTAATGGGTTTGAAGAGAGTTGCGATTTGTGATAGAACTATTTTATCAATTAATGACTTAGCTACAAACTTTTATGTTAATTAAGATTAGATAGGTAAGGTAACAAAGGAAGTTGCAGTAATACAATCATTATAGAATTTAAATGAGAATGTCATTGTAGAAATATATAATGGAGTAGTAAATGGGGAAAATTTAAAATAATTTTCTATTGTAGTATTGACTGATACATGGGATTAAAATTTTATAACAGAAATTAATGAAGCAACAAGATTAAAGGGAAAAGGATTTATTTTAGCTCATTCATCAGGATTATTTGGATCAGTGTTCGTTGACTTTTCAGATGTAGAATATATCTTAATATTTTTAGAAATTTATAATTTATGATCACAATGGTGAGGGTGAAAAAGAGAATTTAATTGAGGGAATAACAAATGATATTTAGAGTATAGTTAAAACATTAGATGAAAGACATTAATTATAAGATGGGGATTACGTGACATTTAAGGAAGTACTTGGTATGACTGAAGTTAATGATTAAATCTTTAAGATATCCGTATCTTAATAATTTATTTATTTAGGTGTTATCTCCTTAAAAATTTAGTATTGGCGATACTACAAACTTTTCTGCATATTAAAGAAATGGAATTGCAGTTTAAGTAAAGATTCCAGAAGTAATAAAATTTAATTCTTTTCATAAAATAATATCAAAAGATGAAAAAGAAATAGATAAGATAAATTAAAGTTAAATTGGAAGTTCAGATTAGTTATAAATTGGATATCAGTCACTTTTATATTTTATGAAAGAATTTGGAAGAATGCCAGAATTATTAAATGAAAATGATGCAGAATAATTATTGAAATTAGCCTAATAATTAAACATCTAATAAGGATAGATCAACTTAAATTTAGAATTAATTAAGAATATTTCATATTATTGTAAGGCTTAAATTACTCCATTAACAACAGTTTTTGGAGGTATAGTTGCATAAGAAGTTGTTAAATTCACAGGAAAACTCACACCCATCAATTAATGGATTCATCTTGAATTTTTTGAAGCTTTACCTGAAGGTTAGATTAATAGAACTCTTATGAACTGTTAATATGATGATTATATAGCCATTTTTGGTTAAGATTCTTTAAACAAATTATAGAACCAAAAAATATTATTAACCGGAGTTGGAGGTTTAGGAAATGAATTTCTTAAAATGTTTTCACTAATGGGTTTAGGTAGTGGGTAATCTGGCTAATTAATTGTGGTTGATGATGATCAAATTGAACTTTCAAATTTAAATAGATAATTCTTATTTAATAAAAATCAAATTGGTTTTAATAAAGCAAATATAGCATCATCATTAGCAAAAGTAATTAATTAAAATATCAAATGCGACGCATTTCCTTATAAAATGTAAAAATAAAATGAACATATTTTTAATTAATCTTTTTGGAATAATATAGATTTTACTGTAAATGCAGTCGATAATATAAAGACTAGGAAATATCTGGATTCTTAATGTTGTTTTTTTAAGAAACCTACTTTTGAAAGTGGAGCTGAAGGAACAAAATGTCATTCCTAAGTTATTCTACCATTTTTAACAGAATCATTTAGTGAAACAAACGATCTTCCAGAAAATTCAATACCCATGAGCACTTACTTGAATTTTCCATACACTTCCTAACACAATATATTGTGGGCTTAATATGTATTTAAATAAGAATTTCAACAGATTTTACATGATATTTATTAATTATCTCAAAATCATGGTTACCTAGAATAACTTCTTAATGAGTTTACAAATTCCCTTTCATACTTAAAGGAGAGACTAGATTAAATTGAAAAATATTTTTAAATAGCAATTAATCCTAATTTAGAAAACTTTGTAACACTAGCAATATAATTATTCAATAAATTATTTTATCAAAAAATTAAATATTTATTGGCTGAATTTCCAATTGACCTTATTATAGAGAATGGATAATTATTTTGGGTTAATCCAAAACGATGTCCTGAAGCAATAGAATTTGATGTTAATGATCTACTTCATCAATAGTTTATTTAAAATGTCATAAAAATTATATCTTAATATATTGGTAAACCATTATAAATTAATTTTGATGATATAGCGGTCTAACTTTAAACTGATCAATTAAGATAAATTGAATCATAAATGAAATCAAGTATTAAAGATTAAAAACAAGAAGATCATGAATCTAAATAGAGAAAAGATATTGAAATTTAAATTGAAAAATTAAAAAATTTAGCCTCTGAAAACCATAAAAAGATTTAATAAATTAAACCTTACATTTATCCAAAGGATAATCTAACCAATTTAGAATTAAATTTTCTTACTTGTGCAGCTAATTTATAAGCAAAAAACTACAAACTTCCAAAAATTTCCAGGTATACAGTTAAATAAATAGCAGAAAATGCTATTCCTTCATTGATAACTACAAAAGCTGTAATAAGTGGAATAGTATGTATCGAAATTTTCAAATATGTTCATTAAAAAGATATTAGTGTAATGAGAAACTCATTTATTAACCTTGCTTTACCTCTTTTTATTTTTTCTTGTCCTAATTCTCCTCATTAAAATGTAGATAAAGAGTATGATGTTATATTTTGTGAAGCTACAAAAGCTATTCCAGATAGTAATTTAGTTTTGTAAATTTAGAATGGACTGCTTGGGATGTTATAAAAATTGATCAGTAAATGACTATTGGTTAATTAATCGAATATTTTGAGAAGAATTATGGAGTAAAGGTTGATTTTATAGGTTTCAATTCTTATGTGTTGTATTCGAAATTTAAACCAGATC